GAGGAGGATAGTTAGTAAAAATGGTATACGAAAGTCATGTAAGATAAAGTCTAAGAGGTAATTAGCATATCAATTCGGCAATTTAAGTCAAACTTATCCTCACAAAAGTATTTTTTCTTGAGTGGGAGGATGATGGTGGCAGAGAAGGATGGTGCCTCGTCCCACCAACACAACTGGATAACTGTCAAATCATCCTAAATACTCCAGAAATCAGCCTGAAGATGAGCAGAACAAGCTCCATTACTAAAGGCAGAGAAGAGCCCACGTTAAAGGTACAAAGTGCTGAGATGCAGTTTGGGAGAAGCAAATGGGGCCGGCGGCCTCTGCTGCGGGAGGGAGCTGCGGGGAGGGAGCTGCGGCCACGGAGAAGGACAAGGAACAGACTAACACCGGGGAGTGCACCGGGAGAGCAAGTCTCCATAGTAATTGGCCTGAAAGGCAAGACGAGTCAAATTTCATGAGTTCCTGGAGTTCCAGGGATCAGCAGGCTCCCCTCGGAGAGCCCGTAGCATTGGGGCTGCTCTTGGAGAGAACAGGGTGGCAAATGGCAATCTGAAGAGCACCTGGGGCACAGAGGGGAGTTTACCTGAGTCCCTGAGAGACAGCATTTATGGAGAGACTCCTCCAGGCACAGAGGAACTGGAAGACGCGGCTTCCTTTCCCTACCTCACGTAAGCACAGGCCACCTGCAGAAACCAGCTCAGGACCAAACTCCACCTAACTTCCTTATACCACCCCCACTCCCCTGTGCTCCAGTGGAATAGCCCATTCCAGGCACCCTTGCCTCGGTCCCAGTGCATCCCTCAGAAGACGGGCCCAAACCCCGGTCAACACCACGTCTCCTACTCAGAGTTTTGCGGAGCCTCAGTTCCAGTGGCAATGGTGACAGGTCTCATTTCTGTAGCAGACTATTTGGTACGCCTACTTAAACATACGCCAGAGACCAAAGAGTGCCCGCAATAGGCAAAGAAAGCCCCCGTAAACAACTGGCCTGACGGATACACCAGTCAGGACAAAGCAGCAGAGCACACTCAGCACACACTGAGATACGCCCAGAAGCACCGGGCCGAGCAAGGGACACTACACTGCAGGGCACTACAGGACCTCTTCTTCACAAAGCCATTACCCTCAAGGACAGGAAATGTAGCTTCACTTAGACAAAGTGAGAAGACAGAGAAATTTGTCCCAAATGAAGGAACTGGACAGGGCCACAGCTGGAGATCTAAGCAAAACAGATGTTATATGCCTGATGGAGTATTTAAAATACTCACTGAGGGCAGCCCAGATGGCTCAGAGGTTTAACGCTGCCTTTAACCCAGGGTGTGATCCTGGAGACCCGGGATCGAGTCCCACGTCGGGCTCCCTGCATGGAGCCTTCTTCTCCTTCTGCCGTGTCTCTGTGTATCTCTCTCTGTATCTCTCATGAATAAATGGATGGAATCTTTAAAAAAAAATTACTCACTGGACTTGAGAACAGAATGGAAGACATTAGTGAGACCCTAAACATGGTCATAAAGAAGAACCAATCACAGATGAAGAGTGCAAAAATGAGATTAGAAGCATGCTTGTTGCAATGAAACCGAGAAATGAATTGATAACCTAGAAGACAGAGTAATGGAAAGTCATCAAGAAGAACAAAAGAGAGGATAAAAGAATTATGCAAAATGGAATAGACTTAGGGAACTCAGTGACTCCATCAAATGTATTGTAGCATTTACATTAGAGGAATCCTAGAGGAAGAAGAAAATGAAAAGAAAAAAGAAAAGAGAAAAGAAAAGAAAACAAAAGAAAAGAAAAGAAAGGAAAAGGAAAAGGAAACAAAAGAGAAAAGGAAAGGAAAAGAAAAGAAAAAAGAAAATGAAAGGAAAAGAAAAGAAAAAAGAAAAAAGAGAAAAGAAAAGGAAAGTAAAAGAAAAGAAGAGAAAAGAAAAAGAAAGAAAAGGAAAGAAAAGAGGGCAGCCCGGGTGGCTCAGCAGTTTAGCGCCGCCTTCAGCTCAGGGCCTGATCCTGGGGTCCCGGGATCAAGTACCACGTCGGGCTCCCTGCATGGAGCCTGCTTCTCCCTCTGCCTGGGTCTCTGCCTCTTCTCCTCTCTCTCTCTCTGTCTTTCATGAATAAATAAATAAAATCATTAAAATGGAATAAAATAAAACATAAAAATCAAAAGAAAATTATCTTTATCCTACTTCCACTTTATCAAATTACCCATTTATTTGGTCGTTTTTATATCAAAATTCCTGGAAAAAGTTGTCTATATTCATTTTTTTTTCTCTCTTACCAATAAACACATCCCAATCAGGGTTATGCTCCCCTCACTCCAAGGAAACTTCTCTAGCCAAGGACGCAAGTGCCCTTCACGTTGCACGCACATCGTAGGGTTCACGGTCCTCATGTTAGCCCGTCAGCTACGTCGAGCAGAGCTTTCACTCTTTGACGTGCTCTCTCGGCTTCTGGGACAACACATTCTCTCCATTCCTCTCCTGGCTCAGTGGCCTTTCTCCGTCGGGAAGCAAAACCCCCTTCATCTTATTCTCGCCCCCTGAACGCCAGAGCACACCAGGCTCCACCTGGTCCTTCCACCTTCTCTATTTACACGGGCTCCCTTGGTAATCTCTTTCCGGGCTCGTGTCGATGAATCCCAAACTTATACCTGCAGCCGATATGTCTGTCCCAGAGTTTAGATTGAGCCTTCCCCCTGGAGGCCCTGAAGACATGTGAGCTCAACAAGTCTACACGGGATTCCTCATCGGTACTCAAAGCTTCCTTCGTTGACAGCTCCCATGTCCGTTGGCAGCAAGTCTATCTTTCAAGTTGCTCAGCCCAGAATCATCAGTCGTCCTTGACCCTCTTCTTTCTCTTATGCTCAACATTCATCCACCGGAAAATTCTCTTGGCTGTCCTTTCAACACATGCCCAGGATCAAAATACGTCCCGCCACCTCCGCTGCTAACACGCTGGTCTGCACAAATACCGTGTCTCATCTGGGTTGCTGCAACGGGTCTACGAGTCTCCGTGGTCTCCCCTTCCCCTACATTAGCAAGCGGCTGCAGGGACCCCTTTAGACCTAAATCAGGTCACGTCGCACCTCGGCACTGGTCCCCTCTCACAGCAAAAAACAAGGTCCTACGTGATCGGACTCCTGTTATGTCTTTGACATCAGATCCTGATATTTCTACCACTGTTCCTTGGCTCCGGCCACTGTTTGAATGATAAATATTTGTTAAATCGAAACGGAGCTCCCGTTTCCAAGGAGCTCGTACTCTACTGGAAGAACCAGAGGCATAGCAAGGGTTGCAAACAGACCGCGGAGATTAGAGCTCTCCGCTAGCCCCCACCCTGGATTTCGGTAGGTAGGTAAGCGTGAAGGTAGAGCAATTCGCCGGGGACGGGGAGGTGTTGGGGAGCACGGGTGAGAACCAAAAACCCTTGAGGCAGGGCAAGCCCCGCGAATGTGAAGCTCTGGAGAAATGAGTCAGCAGGACGTTTAGGGAATGACAAGCACGGGGGCCAAGGAATGACACCTGAGGTCAGAGGACGTGGACGTGGGGGGTACAGAGAACCAGAGCTGGCACTTCACGGGGGGCTGGGCCAGGAGAGACTCCATCTGTCTGCTTCCAGCCGCTCCCGGAGCACCTTGCCCACCGCGTCCTCTGGTGGGCACGTCGCCTCAACAAGGCTCATGCGATACTTGGAAAGGATCCTGAATTCCCAGAGTTGAAGGCGCAAGAGGGAAACCTAGAGTCACATTTAACTTGACAAGGTAAAGGAGTGGGCGTGCTGCGGTATCAAATTCGCTCTGTACAGAATCACCATCCCGGTGGTGTTGTTTTTCCCGATGAGCCGCGTTTAGACTACGTCCGCAAGGCTTGATCTCCCCGTCCACCCAAACACTGACTCACGTACAGCGGGCGTCAGGCTAACGCTGCTCTAGCTAATACCCAGCAAATCCACAAGGTGTTAGTCACCCGGGATTTTGTATAAAAGGTGAGCTGAGACGTGACTCGGTCCACAGCTTTCTCCGGACGCGGCTGCTGACCAAAGGTGAGTCTTGGGGTCGGTTCTTACCAAGTGGTGGCAGCTGCTTTTTTTTTTATTTTTATTTATTTATGATAGTCACACACACACAGAGAGAGAGAGAGAGAGAGAGAGAGAGAGAGAGGCAGAGACACAGGCAGAGGGAGAAGCAGGCTCCATGCACCGGAGCCGACGTGGGATTCGATCCCGGGACTCCAGGATCGCGCCCTGGGCCAAAGGCAGGCGCCAAACCGCTGCGCCACCCAGGGATCCCTGGCAGCTGCTTTTGAAAGGACAGGCTCTGTAGGACCCGGAGAACACATCGAGACCTTTCCAACTGCCGTTGCGTAGACGGTTTGTACTCGTCGATGTGGCTACTTGAGTATCGCTAATGCACGGTGGCCACTGCATGTGGCCCAAGTCGCCTGGCCTCTCAAGCAGCCTTACTTTAAACAAAAGTAAGCAAAAGCAGCGGACAACATTCACAGATGCAAAAACTGGCGAGCCCGTTTCCTTTTTCCTTTTAAACAAAAATAGTCTTAAAAAATTTAAAAAGACAAAATATCTAAAATTTAAAAAAATAAACAAAAGTAGTCTTAAAAATTTTTTAGAAATAAACAAAAAGTCTTTAAAACGATAATGAAGGGACGAAGAGGATGATCACAATTACCACCCACAGAACAATCACTAGAAGGCTCCAATCTTTAAATACTGCTGTGCAAAAAAATCATTATATCGGAGTGTTGACCTGTAATGGGGGTCTACTTCGACCAAAAAAAAAAAAAAGAAGAAGGAGAAGGGGTATGAGGAGAAACGTGTGTTCAAGAGCGGGAGAGGAAAGGGAAGGAGGGAAAAGGTTGCTGGAGCTAAGTGCGGCGGCTGGGAGGACGGGAAGATCAATGGTTTGGGGTCTGGTGACCTCCCACGCTCCTAACTGTTTGGGCCACGTTGGCTTCTCCTGAGCCTTGTCTGCTTCCCAGCCCGGGATGAGGTCGGTCCGGTTTTGCTTCCTCCTCTGCTGCTGGAGGGCGGCCTGCGGCGCGGGCTGTGAGCTGACCAACGTCACCATCGCGGTGGAGAAGGAGGAGTGTCGCTTCTGCATAAGCGTCAACGCCACCTGGTGCGCCGGCTACTGCTACACGCGGGTAGGAGCTGGCTTGGCTGGGAGTCAGGGTGCGGGCTTCCCCAGCCCCGCTGTGCAGCCCCCCAACCCCCCGCCGTGCCCGCCAGGAGCCCGGGCCCTTAGCGCCACTTGGGTCGTGCTGGGCCTCGAGCAGGTCAGTCCAGCAGAGCCTCGCACCACCCCCCCCCTGCCTGCGACGTGCACTTGCAGCAAAGTGCTGCTGGGCTGGGTCCGACAGAGGCAGGAAACACAAAGCACAGACGCTCGGCGATGGGGCATCTTCCCTGGTCCCCAAAGCCGGTGCTGTAACAGAGGCCAGGTCCTCGCCCCAAATAGTGTCAAAACACGTTTCAGGCCACAGCACAGCACAGACACGGGGCCCCTGATCATGGGCAACAAGCAGCCCGGAGCCACTTGGCACCGCAGAATTAGAGCCCGCGTGACTCCACGAGCCTCGGCTTCCCCCTGCCGCTGCCGGGGAAACTGAGGCCCGGGGCGCAGCGCCAATAGCTCGTGGTCCCGCAGCCTCTGTGCCTTGGTCCAAGCCAGGAGTTTCCACTGTGCTTCCTGACTGTCTTCTCCTAGAACAGCTGGTTGTCTACGAACCAAAATCGAGAATAGCAACCTTTTAATGAAAGGCCTTTTGTGGGGAGGTAAATGAGCGTGATCCACAGACCCGACGGCATGACGTTAACCCGAGTTAACAGCTGTGCCCGTTTCTTCCCTCGGCGCAAATAATGTTGCTAGAAATCGCTGGGAAAAGAATCTGTTCTGCTCGGATTGAAAGTGCTCGTATGCAAATGTGGGTACCTCGAAACTGAGAGCCCTGCACAATACACAGCATTTAAAGGGAGGACCTATGGGGGCCCTGCATGGGGCGCCTACGGGACCGTGTGCTCTCGGTTAGGAACCCTGGGCTGAGCTTTAGGGGGTAAAAGCCGGAGCCCACGGCAGGCAGGCAATGCCCTCCATGCGGGCTTGGGTGCCTTAGCCTGACTCCGTCCCCCTCACGCTCCCCAGGATCTCGTGTACAAGGACGCGGCCAGGCCCAGCATCCAGAAGACATGCACCTTCAGGGAGCTGGTGTATGAGACGGTGAGAGTGCCCGGCTGCGCCCGCCACGCGGACTCCCTGCACACGTATCCAGTCGCCACCGAGTGTCACTGCGGCAGGTGTGACAGCGACAGCACCGACTGCACGGTGCGCGGCCTGGGGCCCAGCTACTGCTCCTTCGGAGAGCCGCAGCAGTGAAGAGCCGCGGGCACCCGGCCGCAGCCTTGTCCCCAGCTGAGGCCCCGGGGCCCTGCCCTCGGGCAGCACTGTCCCCCGCACCCCCGGGTCCTAGCTGGTCCCCAGGCACGGGGCTGCTTGCCCGCCCCCCTCTTAGAAGTCCTCCCGGGCCACTGCTCCCTCTTGGAACTGGGGTCCCCAGGCCCGGGGCAGCCAGCGGGTCCCCGTGCAGAAGGCAGCCCTCCTCTAGACCCCGCAGGCCTCGAGAGCAGAGCCCCCAGGACTGCAGCCCGGCCTGAGACTCGCCCGCCACGGCTTCCTTGATGGGAGCGCCCTCAGGGAGGCAGGCGGGGGAGAGGCCGGAAGGGACGAGCGAGGCCTCCCCGTGCAAGGCAGCAGGTGCAGGAGCGCCACCTCCCCTCCTGTGCACCTGCAGAGTCCGCACGCCTGCCTCTTGCTGGATTCCCGCCAACCAGGCGGTCACCGAGCTCAGGCTCCCTAAGCTCTCACCACCCAGCCCTTTAGTTAAGGGCAAAAGCAAGAAATGTTAACATGGGCCGATTTTCCCAGGCCCACAACTATTTCATCATTTAAACAAATTGCACCAATCCTGTCCGACTCCTGAAGACTCTGTTGGGACGTCAGGGAAGAGAACCTTATCACCCTGCCACCGGGGCCAGGAACCCCCCTTCGGGGGAGGTGGGTTTGAACGTAGATGTGAAAGCAATGCTGTCACTTTAGTACGTATATTTATCTTATCGACAAATATATTTGTGCAAAGAAACAGCTTCTTTAGAAAGAATTAGCCAGGAGGAAAAAAAAAACCCAAAAACCTAAAAACCTGCCTGTTTGCCCGAGTCCTGTGTATCAGTCTCTTCTTTGGTCTATCCGTGTCCTCCCAAATCTGTTTCTTTTAAAAGAGTGAATATTAAAAGTATTTCATGATTTCTTTTCGAGGTGTTACCTCTCTTAGGTATGTGCTTGTTTCACACTTACATTGTTTAATTTATTTAAACCTTATTTTTTAAATAAAGATGCTAGCCACAGAGTCACACATCTAGAGTTTTTCCATGTGTAAGCAAATGACTAAAATATCAGTCATGTTTATAATATTAGTGGAAATAATGTTAAACAATAACGCCTAGTTCTTCTAGAATATTTACTTGTCCTCACCTTTGGGAATATTAAAATCAATTCGTTGCATTTCTAGAAGTGTTTCTTTATTTAAACGTCCTGTCATTTTTCAAAGCCCGTTTCCGAGGGAATGAGGTGGGGAAAGGCAAAGAGAGAACCGCAGAGCGGGAGGGGACCCGGGAGATTCTCTAATTCCTTTCCTGAGCCTTTGAAATGGAGACATTGAAGTCCGTGGAGGTTCCCGGACGCACCGAGAACTCAAAGAGCACCGAGAACTCAAAGAGCGTTCGGGCGCCGCAGGGTGAGGACGCGGGCCTGGCCCTTGACCCGCGCTGCCGCGTTGCTCTGTCGCGCTGAGAAGCCCCCTTGGCCAAGACCGGAGCCAGGTTGCACGTATCAGTAGCCAGGCTGGGCCCCCAGGTCTGGTGCCGATTGCGGCTTGTAATTACAGCCTCCGCGGCATTTCGACACCCCGAGATTAGGGCCGCATTGACGGAGTTTAATAAGGGCTCTGGATTACAACACAGTGTTTTCCTTCTTCTCGGGCTTCTGGAAATCAAAATAGCTGCCTTCCCATCGGAGACACTACAGGGCGCTGGCCTCAGGGTTAACGCGTCTTCATCGCCTTGTCCAGAGGTAGCATCTTAACCAAGTTACTTAAATTCTCTGCATTTCAGTTTCCCCAGCTGTCAAATGAGGAGAGTAATATCATTCACCTCAGAGGGTTGTAAGGCTGATTAAGTGGGACCATACGTGTCAAAGACTCAGCAGGGTCAGCGCCTGGCGCACAGCCGTTCCCCGGTAAATCCGAGCGATCGCGCCTTGAGAGACAGGAAGGTGTCAAGATGGTAAGTGGACTTACGTAAAACAACGTAGCTTAGGCTTTTCCTAATAATATTAGGTAAGATACTGAACTATTCCGGGCATCCGTTTCCTCATTTTCAAAGTGGAGAGTGAAAATGGTAACTATCCCACAGGGTGGCTCTGAAGAGGAAAAACGGTAACGGGCGTGAGGTGCTTTGGGAGCCCAACGGGAGAACTACCATCTTGACGAGCGAGACTTCTCCACCTTAGCTCAGAAGGTCAAGGTCGAAATGCTGGGAAGAAGCAACGGCTTCTGCTTGAGGTGCCCCCGTGCCTAACGGGAGCACAATCCTTTCTCAAGTAGCAATTAAGAAAATTCGTGAGCTCCCCAAGTGCTTGCCAAGGAAAGGCCACCCCCATGGGCCACCATCTTAGCTGAAGCCCAGCACTAGAGCAAGTCCTCATGGGGCTACAGAAGTTAATGTGTCCAAACCACAACTGTAATCATGTCCGATAACGAATGGAATTCCTCTGTGTTTTCAGGATAAATCTTGATATTTAGCTGACCTGTGTAGTCACGGATCAACCTCCTATGTCCCTGTTCCCTCATTCCCAAGGGACTGCTACACCTGGAGACTAGCTCTGAGGACTGAGGGATTATTTCGTGCTGTAACCCAACTACTAGGCCTTTCCTCCCACAAGATTTGACTATGGTAGACGTCAGTAGCGCTAAGTTATCAGCCAGTTTAAGTGATAAAAAATGTGACGTCAGTGCATGATCCCTCCCCCTACGATTCCCGTCCAGCCCTGAACGCTGGTATGTTCGTCTTCATTTTCCTGAATAAAAGCTGTGACAAAGACATGTGGGCAGTGCTGCCAGGGGCCCCCAGGCCAATGGGAGGAAACAGGGAGGGAAACGAGCAGTTTCCAGGGCCGCCGAGGTCCCTGCTCCCCAGCCCTGACCCAGGGCACCCCCAGGAACAGCCCGGACTGGGTGGGCTCTTCCTGGGGTCACCCAAGGTCCTTGCTCTCCAGCCCTGATCCAGGGCACCCCCAGGAACAGCTCGGACTGGGTGGGCTCTTCCCGGGGTCACCAAGGTCCCCGCTCCCCAGCCCTGGCCCAGGGCACCCTGGGAACAGCCTGGACTGGGTGGGCTGGGGCCAGGGCTTCTGGATGCTGGAGGCTGGAGGCCGCCTGGAGGCCACCTCCCCACTGAGAACTCACCAGTGTGAAGGCAAAGGGAAGAAAGGGGAAGGGACAGAGGAGGAGGGCAGGGGAAGACGGGCGACAGGGGGACAGCAGTTTTGTCTCTTCTTCTAGATGTTTGTTTTGTAAGTATTCTCCTCAAACAGTCTGGTTGACACAGGACCCCGTTAGCTCTGGGCGGACAACGGGGGACCCCTAAGGAGCCTCCACACAGTGCTGCGCTCCCCTCAGGGCAGCTCCGTCTGCCACCACGTGTCCCCACAGCAATGTCACGGACTGTGTTCCCTGCTGGGACTTACTCATCTCCTAACCGGACGCCTGTACCTCCCACCGTCTCCCCATTTGGCCCATTCCCTCACCCCTTCCCTCTGCAATCATCCGTTCATTCTCCTAGTTACAGGCCTGGTTCACGTTTCATTTATTCATGTTTCGTTTTTTAGATTTTACAGAGGAGTGAAATTGCCAGCTTCAGTGTGACCTATTTCATTTAGCACAGTACCTTCTGGGTCCATCCATGTTGTCTCAAATAACGAGATCTTGTCCTTTCTACGGCTGCACTGTGCTCCGGTGTGTGTCCACCACCGATTTCTGAGCCACTTGTCCTCTGACGGACGGACGGGTGCTTGCACACAGCAGCTCAGCCCCTGGCTGCTGTAAATACAGCTGCAGTACACACAGCGGTGCATAGGTCTTTTTGAACTAGTGGTTTCATTGTTTTTGGGAAAATGCCCAGTAGTGGACCTACTGGACCACCGGGCATTTCCAGGTTTAATATTTTGAGGGTCCTCCATCCTGTTTCCCACACCAGCTTACATTCCCACCAGCGGGTGCCTTTTCCTCCACATCCTCACCAGCACTTCTTTCTTGTCTTCCCGATTGTAGTCATTCTGGCAGGTGTAAGGCGGTATCTCCCCATGGTCTTGATTTGCCGTTTCCCTGATGACGAGTGACGTCGAGAGGGTCTGCAGGCCATCCACAGGTTCTTTGGAAGATGTCTATTTACGTCCTCTCCCATTTTTTAAGTTGAATTGTTTGCCTTTTTTTTTTTTTTTTTTTTTTGCTGTTGAGTTGTGGAAGTTCTTTATATATTTTGGATATCAGACCCTTATTGGCTATATCATTTGCAAGTATCTTCTCCCATTCAGGACGTTACCTTTTTGTTTCATTGACAGTTTCCTTTGCTGCACAGAAGGTTTCCTTTTGTCGTCGTCCCAATAGCTTATCTTTGCTTTTGTTTCCCTTGTCTGAGGAGGCAAAGGTCTAGGAAATGTTTCTATGGCCAAAGTCAGAGACATTACTGCCTGTGCTCTCTTCTAGGATTTTTATGCTTTCGGGTCTCGCGTTTAGGTCTGTAATCCACTTTGAGCGCCCTTCTGTACGCGGGGTTACAGGGCGGTCGGGTTTCATTCCCATTCACATGCAGCTGTCCATTTTCCCAGCACCATTCATCAGAGACGTCTTTCCCCCGTTGTACTTTCAGGCAAGTGTAGGCCCATATCCCAGGCTCTTTGTTCTGCTCTGTTGATCTGCGTGTCTACATACTGTTTTGATTACGACAGCTTTGTAACAGAGCTTGAAATCTGGAATTAGCAGCTTTGTTTTCCCTTCTCAAGATTGCTTTGACTGTCCAGGGTTTTTTCCGGTTCCACGTAAGTTTTAGTATTATTTGTTCTCGTTCTGTGAAAAAATGCCGTTGGAGTTCTGACAGGGATTGCGATGACTCTGTAGGTCGCTTTGAGTAATGCACCCACTTTACCGACCTTAATTCTTCTAACCCACGAGGACGGAATATCCTTCATTTGTTTACGTCATCTCCAACTTCTCTCTCTAAGGTCTCTCTAAGGTCTCGTAGCTTTAAGAGTGCAAGTCTTCTTTG